TAAAAGCCGATTATAAAATTTCTATAGACGGAGAGACGCGAAAGCCTTGTAGCAACGTAATTCTGCGCCACCCGCAAAAAAACCAGGGATGCGCTAAAGCCTTGTAGGACGATTCTATTATCACATCGCGTGATGTCGGGGTTCCAATATTCAAATCTCGCTTTTGTTAGTAATATATATTACTAATCAAAAGTGGAGTTTGAATATTGGAACCTCGACATCACCCGATGTGATAATTAGGTTTCGGGATGTTGAATGCGTCGAATGTCGTGATTTTAGAGTAGAATCGTCCCACAAGGCTTTAGCCGACCTCCATAGACACACTCAGTAAGCAAACTGAACAATGAAAGCCCGATGACTGACTGCACTCATATAAGATGACCCTAACTCTAAAGGTAATTCAATAAAATATATATTATAAGAATCTACACCGCTTTAGACGTCCCCTATATTTAGTTAATTTTTATGACGATTAAAATTTTTACATCTCCGAACTATGACAATACTTTTTTCTTAGTATTATTATTATTCTTATTATTATAAAACAAAATATATATCAGATATATAGTTAATTCAAAAAAAAATCATTAAAATAATGATATTATATATAAGACAAGCTATTAAAAACAAGATAAGGTTTAGTTTGTACATATAATATTACAACAAAATCGGATATAAATAACATAAAATTCGATTCTTATAAAATCTGTCCCATGCAAAAAAAAAAAAAAAAAAAATTACATAATATTCGATACACAAGTTTATATTATAACACTGTGTTCTATAATTTCGGGAAATATTCTTGTAAATCATGAAATCTAGCCTCCGTAATCTCCGTTTATCAACCTTTGTCAAAGTGTAAAATTTTTTTTCGATACAAAGCAAACTGGTCTTCTCTTATGATCTTTTTTTTTATAATTCACTTATTTGTCAATAACGGGGTAACCTGAAGAGGAAAATCTAAAAATAATATATTCATTTAGAATTACCAATTCTGGAAACACAGCGATTAAAAGAAACAAACATTAACACTTAGTTAATACGTACGTAAGTACCTAAAATTACGCCTGTCCGCATAAATCTAAAGAATCTGTTGAACAATGAAACATAGAAATTCTTATTATCAAACTGGAACGCGATTAGTTGAACACAAGCAAGATGTTTCACGCAGAACCTGACGTTAAATGCTAATGATTAAAAAAAATAACAAAGACGTACGTACGTACGTACGTATGTGATTTGGTATTTAGTGTCGCGAGATTTATGCTTACACAATTATACAATTATATCGATGTACAGTATAAAAATGTATGGATAATTGGGCCAGAAAGAAAGTGAAGCAAACGCCGCCGCAATTACCTAATTATGAAGGATAATTATTTAAATAGGGATTTTCGAACAATGAGAGTCTTTAAACAATGAAATTAGGAAAAATCACAAATGGATTAATAAAGCTAATAAACCTTAATAAGATAGCATTAAGTGAGAATTGATTCATCTATGAATTTGCATTTTTGATTGTCAGACACAAGCGTAGGTATCGATATGTTTACGCGACGGAAAAAATACTCCGATCACGTCTTAAAATAGAACCAGCTTCTAATATAGAATTTGGTAACTACTTTGATGATAAAGGTAATACAAGAGCAAGTTGTCTTTCATGTATTACCATAATAGAGTTTAAAGAGTAGTATTAAAATTTCAGCCACCATTTAGGTCTACCTATAAGGGAAGAGTGATCATCCAAAGTTCTACGTGGAAACGACTAGAAAAGACATTATAGCTTAATCAATATTATTTTACCATTTTATTCAATATAAAATATTTGACTCTACCCCGTAAAGTGTAATAAGTATATTATGTAATTATTATCGTTGTTATTGTTTATAAGTTATTGGAATAAATTCTTTGATTGATCAATAATTAAATCAAATCAACCGTTTAATATAACCATTTTTATTGTGTAATTTTCTATTTTTCTGTAACATTGTAACTTCTTATAGTGTTGCAACATTTTTGTGTTGCCGTAACTTTTAATATTGCCATAACTAAGTTACAGCAAATGTCAAATATTATGACCTACGTCATTAAGACACTTTTGACATGACAATACGTCAATTGGATGTAACTATATGTCTTTAGGGTGTTTCATGCAAGTCTAATTACAAAAATAGTGCAGGTGGTATAGTGATGATCATTAATCCGATTTTTTTATAGGAAACGTTTTTTAAGATTTGCATGTAATATTAAAGACCATAGGAAAATCACCTTCTTTTGCTTTTAATTCCTCTCATAATATCTAACATTTTTTAATTCTGTAAACACAAAATGCTTAATAAAAGGCATCTTTACATCGTAACAATGTTAGAATTCTATTTTACTTATTATGAATGTCTTCAATTTGAAGTTGAATTACTGAATTTAATCTACTAAATAAAATCATATGTTCAATTTTATTGATGTACAAAATAATGATAAAGATTTCAAGAATCTACAATTTAACATTAAATTAAAAACTTTATTTATTGTATAGTATGACTTATTAAGTTTGGTTTTTTGTTATACCACCAAGAAATAAAGCTGTTAAGAATTTTATAAGTTTTTTTTTTTTTTAAAAACCATATTTTTTTTATTGCTTAGTAATTTTAGGATCTTTAGTATTTTGCTAAACATCTTATAACATGGTTTGAGAAATTCACTGTTATTCACCATTCAGGTCCAAAAGTTGAATAAGTGATTCTGTAATTGAGCATTTATATTTGGGTAAACTTTCATATTATAGCAATTAAATAACCTTTCTATTTGTTGTTGATATCCTACAATATTTTTTTTTTTTTGTTTTTAGGTGACCTCTTTGTTATTGTTTTTTTTTTTAGTTTTTTTTTACTTTTTCAATTTTGTTTACA